ACACGCGGAATTGCGCGAGAAAATTCGATCTAACGAATTTTTTTTTTTTGATGCATTATTTATGATCGCCAGTGTACAAAAAATTAACCAAAAACACGATTTTACTTATTATCTACTAAAAGTTTACTAAATATTACTAGGTCCGTTAGGCCCAACCGGGTATGCGTATAAAGTCCAAACCCGGCCACAAATTTCAGGCTTTGTCCCGGTCCATTTCGTACCCTAACAATGCTACGCATTACCTAGTTATGTAAATTATAATGTAAGTTTACAACCTTAAATACAAGCAAAAACTATCTTATATATAACACATAACATTAAAATTGTAAAAGTTTTAAAAAGCAAGATCCGGTGGTATAAAATCATTATTATTGTCATAATATTCACCAGTATCACCGGGTGCCATATTATACATCCAATTATAATAATCAGTATTATAAGTACTATACATCCAGTTATAATAATCAGTATTATAAGCATTATACATCCAATTATAATAATCAGTATGATAAGTATTATAGAATGGGTATGGCGTTTCTTCCGCCTCTTCTGGCTCTTTTTGCTCTTCTGATTTAGTTTGCCTGATCTTTGAATCTGTATCATCAGAAAATATAACTGGTGGAACCTCAGGATTTTGAGTCTAGGAATTTTAGACGAATAATTTTATTAATAAGAAATATTCAACTTGTAATTTAAATAATTATTGATGAAATTTTTATTAATGGTATACTTTTATTGTCTCCCTTATATTCAACAAGTTTTCGTATGCTTCTTGATCATTTTCGGTTGTCAATGGTCTTTGATGATGCTTAAATGAAAGTTCGTCTAATCAAAATTGAAAAAATTTTTTTAAAATTAAATAATTATTTTATATCAATAATTACAAAGTAATTAAAAGAATAATTTACCAGGAAGAGGTTGTACATCAACATGATAGTTTGTTTTCAAAGATTCAATAAATCCCAACTCATTAATATCAACAAAACTAATTGCTAGACCGTGAGTTCCTATTAATAACCAATTTCAGTAAACATTAATATCATAACAATCGATCATATATAACCATACTAGTTAATTACCGTAACGTCCAGTTCTGCCAACACGGTGCAAGTAAGTTTCAGCGTCCCTCGGCATGTCGAGATTTACCACCAAATTTACTCTATCAATGTCAATACCTCTGGCAATCTTATATAAAAGAAATATATTAAATAAATAGGTAAATTTATAAATGTTGAAACAATTCAGACTAAGCGTACCAAATCACTGCAAACAAGGACTCTTATTTGAAAATTACGAGCTTTCGACATTGTTTCAAGACGCATTCGTTGATCAAGCCCACCTATGAATATATATATATAAGTATATTTTGTAGAATTGAAAAGAGATACTATAAAATTTCACACCATCATGCCTGATATGTTCATTGCCATCCACCCTTGACTTGTTAAATAATTTGCTAGATCAACAGCCCTATTTAAAATGTATGTTAAAATTAACCGTAATAACTAATATGCTAAATAAATGATGATGATAATAAATTATCACCTTCCACGATGATTCAGGAAAACGATGCATTGATAAAATGGAACACGACTCAAAAGATCAACCATCTTTTTGAACTTTTCTTCATAAAATTTGAATCTTTCAGTGACATTGACTGTATTTGGAACTTCTACTATTTGGAAATATTGTAATACACCTGCAAGATGAACCCATTTTTTTTTAGTAATCTAAAACAACAATAAATAGAAATGAATGCGAAGCAGCAAATAATTGATCTTACCTTCCAGAGCTGGAGTATCTTCCGAAAGCATGATATGATACGGATTACAAACAAAATTTTCAAGAGCTTTTAGCAACGCTTTATCATATGTTGCAGAAAACGCAAGTACCTGCTTGGTTTTTGGAAGTTTAACATTGATTTTTCTATTTAATTTAATGTACATAATAATTAAAAGCAATGTCAAAATAAATAAATAAATAAATCGAATGAACATGACTTAATACTTTAATTGAGGCACAAAATTGCTTTCCATCAATTTATCAGCCTCATCTAGCACAAATAATTTTATGTCTTTAGCAACCATTTGCTTGTTTAATAGAAGGCCAATGCGACCTAATATGAAAAAAACATTGTTAATTTTGAATTTGTCATTATTACATCCCAATTCATCCAATATTATAATTCATCCGAGATTATATAATTACCAGGAGATCCGATTACTATATGACATTTTTTAAGTTTTGGTATATCTTCTTCAACGGGAATCCCTCCAATAAATACGTGACAAATCAGACCATTCATATAACGACCAATGTTTGAAATGACTTCTTTTGTTTGTACTGCTATTTCTCTAGTAGGCGCTAAAATTAATACCTGTGGATCGAGATCGAAAATCAAATTAATTAATTAATTGAATAATTATAAATTGTTAACAAGAAATTAATTTAATATATAAACCTGCGGTCGAGTATTACTTAAATTCAACATTTCTAATGCGATAACTCCAAATACTATCGTTTTTCCGGTTCCCGATTTTGCCTGAGCAATAACATCAAGGCCGAGCTTTCCCGGAGGAACAGCTTTTAATTGAATTGGAGAAGGACGATCATAACCAGCTTCTGATAATCCACGTAATATGTTTTGATTTGTAATTAAAGATTCAAAATTAACATCTTCGTCTATTTGAACATCCTTTGTTCGATCAATTTTAATTTTTGACATTATAGAGCGAGGGGTAAATTTTTTTTTTTCTCCGTAATCTTAATTTTTAAAATCAGCTGATTTATCACAGGTCACAACAGGATTACTAAAATTGTTATGATAAACAATTTCCCCTTTTACGTTAAATTCTCAAAAAAGATACCATAATTACGTATTTATTTATTCAAAAAATTTTCCTTACAGAGTTAAAGACTAACTATAAAATGACTCTCGATACGCATGTATAAAGAAATGACTTTTTTAATACATATAAGGAAGTTAAGAAAGGTCCGATATAAAAGACTTTTTTATTAGAGTCATTTATATTAAGAAGTTAATTAGCAAATATTTATCGTTATTTTAATAATTCTGTAATTATTAGTAAAATTTTTACCGCAGTATCTATGTATTCTGAGAACACTCAAATTAAGATTATTTTCATTATGACAAAAATAAAAAAAGTTCTTACGATCTTTTTTTGACACTAGACTATTCCCTGTTTGTAATATCAATATTCGAATTCGTACACATTTGGTAATACAAAATTTGTATAGATCCGCACTATGAGTTACATTAGAATTAACCTCCCTGAATTCTATCTTAATTAATTACCTCCGTATACATACGTATGTGTTCTTACGTACATACGTAACTCTAACTTCTACTTATACTCCGCGATTAAATTCCCCTGAATTCTATTTTAATTCATGTCATGGGTGATACAAGCATCTTCATTTAATAAGAGGATTTAAAGCTTCTCCTAAAATTACGTCTTTCTTTTCGATAAATTTTAACGATTAAAAAAAATAAAATAATTAATAATAATAATTAATAATAATAATAATAATAATAATAATAAAAATGTTTAAAAGAAAATCAGTAATAACTAATGGTGGTACTCAACCACGATCAAAATCACCACCTGGTAATAAAAAAAGTAGTATTACTTCTCCGAGGTTTTATGAAATTCTCGATTATTTTGCTTCGAGGATGAATGGTAATTTACATCATTAAAGATCACTATTTACTATTATAAGTAATTTTCATGTGTTAATTAAATATATTAATATCTAATTGTGAATTATCTCGTAATTATGACATTAGTTCCTTTACAATTCGGTACTTTTATGAAACGACGTTATAGCAAAGATGATATATCATCTCCAATTGATTTTGAGTATGAAATTAATTTTTTATTATATGTGGTTGTTTATTTTTATGTCTGATTTTGAAAATATTTAAAAAAAAACTCAACATTCTTATTCGATAGGCATCTTATTCATACCGAAAGTGAAGAACAAGCTCAAGAAATATTATCATATTGGAGTCTGAACCCAACTGAAAATAAAATGCCAGGTAAATATTTTTTAAAACTTTTACAAGATCTAATTCATGCTATCATTTAATAATGTATGCTTTTAAAAATTTGATTTAGATACTTCAATACAGTATAAAACTTTACCAAATTCATTTATTGGAAAAGATGGTAATATATTACCTGATAGTGTAGAAAATAGTACTGGAACTGTTATCATCAAGAATTCTGTACCTTACAACAACCAGTATCTTGATCAGTATTCTGATCCTTTACAACAAAATATTGTTCCATCTTTGGCTACAATTGAAAAAATCCGTAGCTGCTAAAATTTATTTTGAAAATTACTTTTATGGTATTCTCAAGAAACCATCAGGGCGTGCCAAAAGACGTTTACAACTTGAATCTGAACTTGAAAAAATGGCAATTTCTGATAAGGATAAACGTGAAATTCGTCAAGAATGGCTTACACTTGAATCTGATTATATGCGTATTTTACGTAAAAAAATTACTATCAATGCTTTTCAGATGATTAAAACGATAGGTCATGGTGCTTTTGGTGTTGTTAAACTTGTTCGTGAAAAAAATACTGGTATAATATATGCAATGAAAATAATGAGAAAAGCTGATATGTTAAAAAAAGGTCAAGAAGGTCATGTACGTGCAGAAAGAGATCTATTAACCGCTGCTTCTGAATCTGCTCGATGGATAATAAAGTTAATTTATTCTTTCCAAGACGCTGATCATTTATACCTTGTTATGGAATATATGCCTGGTGGTGATTTACTAAATTTACTTATCGAAATGGATACTTTTCCTGAAAATTTTGCTAAATTTTATGTCGCTGAAATGGTTTTATGTATTGAAGAGGCCCATAAAATGGGTTACATCCACCGTGATATAAAGGTATATTTTATTTTTATACAAGTGAAAAATTTTTTTAATATTTTAATAATGTAATAACGCGTTATCTGTTATATTAACTAATAATGTTAATTATTTTTCATGTAGCCTGATAACTTTCTTTTTGATAGAGAAGGTCATATAAGGCTTTCTGATTTTGGGTTGGCTACAGATTTTCATTGGGCTCATGATTCATCATATTATGATCAACAACGTCGTGATCTTTTACGTAAAACTGGTGTTGATGTTGAAACTGATACTCTTTCAAGATTAATGGGAAAAAAATATCAATCAACAAAATGGTTGAATAAATGGTCTGATGATTCAGATTCTGATAATGATGTACCTAAAACTCGTATCCTAAGTTGGAGAGATAAACATCGTAAGAATATGGCTTACTCTGTTGTCGGAACAAATAATTATATGGCACCTGAAGTTTTAAGAGGTTCTGGTTATGGCAGAGGTTGTGATTGGTAAATATCTATTCATAGTTTATTTGTCATCAATTATCGTCAATTATCGTCAATATGCTTACTTATTTGGGTTTTGATGTGCATGATACGCGTAGGTGGAGTCTTGGTGTAAGTAAATTTATAAATAAATTTATAAATATTTTTGTCAAATTATTCTATCTTGAATAAATTATTCACCTTATTTTTTCACTTTATTAGGTAATTATTTACGAAATGTTATATGGGTATCCACCATTTTGTTCCAAATCTCGTCACACAACTCGTCTAAAGATTATTGATTGGCAAAGCCATCTGAAATTTCCTCTTATGCCTTTTGTTTCTCGTGAAGGTAAATTAAATTTTTCTTGTCGTAACATGAAAATATTGAAATACTGTAATTAATAATAATAAATATATATAATAGTTCAGGACCTAATAAAAAAGTTAATCTGTGAAAAGGAAATTCGTCTTGGTTCGGGTCCTTCAAGATCTACAATTCGACCAAATGGACTTTACCTTGCAAATAGAAAATCCGCTGTATTGGGTTTAGGAGATGCATCAGATATTAAATCACATCCTTGGTTTAAAGGTGTTGACTGGGATAATCTTCATAAGATGAAACCACCATTTGTACCTAAACTAAAGAATGAAATTGATACTAGATACTTTGAAGAAAATATTGATGATAGTCCGTTAGCACCTCCTGAGGGTGAGAGGAAACCAAAAGATCCTATGTTGAGAGATAAGAGACACGGTAAAGATATATTAAATATGCGAAAGGCATTGGCATTTGTTGGATACACTTATAAAGGATTACCTACTGAACAACAAAGGGGTGGAATGGCTGAGCGAATAGCGGGAAGATCTAGTTTTGGTGATGCAAGTTTGAGAATTCGATCAATGAGTTTGTGAAATGATGCATTGATCGAAAAGTATATTTTTTGATATATCTTGTATAATCGTTAAAATCCTGATAAATATAATAATTTTTCTAACGCTAATACTCTTTGTTTTATATGTAAATTCTTTTTATTTGTATTATTTCATTGGTGTATATTAATACTCTGTATAAAACACTTTTTTGTTGTATGTTTTATCATGTACTTTTTTTTATTTATGGTGTTATATATGTTATACATTATACATATTAATTAAATATTAAATAGGGATTATAAAAGCATTTTAATTGGTTTTTCAGTGATTTAAACTATTTTCCTATAACGATCATCGATGTTTTTTTTTTCGCTAAAATTATTTACGTAAGATTATGCGTAATTTATCTTTATGATGTCATGTACCATTAAATATCTCCGATTATTATAAGGGTACGTATGTATGCGTGTCCTTACGTAATACAAAGCATTAAGAATTGGTGTATTGTTGATTAACGATAATAATTAACGTTAACGTTAATTAGTGATTGGCGCCGTAATCATGTGATGCTAATTGTCACACGATACAATATATAAAAATCAACAAATTAGATTGTTGATTTTACCACGTGACAATTAGCATCACATGATTACTGCGCCAATCACTAACGTTAATAATACAGTATTTAACATTAACGTTAACTAAATTAGTTAGTGTGAATTTTAAGGCTTTTTTTTTTTTCAAGGAAAACGCGCGTTTCCGATTCAGTTTTGTACGTATCTCGCATATATGTGCATATATCTGAAAATGACGATTTATGGTGATAATTAGTTGGAGCAAAGTTCGTTTATTTAACTGGTCCGTAACATAGAACCATTATACAAATATTATTAAATTTAGATAATAATAAGTTTGAAAAAAATATGATAATATAACAAAAAGAGTGTGTTAGAATTACATATTAAGATTAAACATAAAAAAAAAAAAAAAAAAAGGGGGAAAAAAAAGAAAAAAAAAGGAATGTAGGAATGTCATTACGTATTACGTGAAATTCACGAACCCAAGAAACCATAAAATGTCTATTCTATCACGCGCCCAACCCAAGAGAAAAAAATATATAATATATTAATACATGTCTAAACTATCTACAATGTAGTAATTCTAAATAATTGTTTCTACCAAAATTTAATTTCCCTTTCCCTATTTGTTTCGGGTTTTTTTGGTTGTATAACTGGCATCTGATATGATGGTCTCTCGCGATAAGGTGGATATTGTTGTGTTTGTAAAAGTCTTCTGCTAGCTAATACATATGATTGTTCGTTATATTGTTCTTGATTAAATGCTAATGAAGAAACTGAAATATTATCATATCCTAATGAAAGTATATTTCGTTTAATTACATTTGGTGAACGTGATTCACTGTATGTAGAATTGTTATCGTTATCTCCTCGTGTTACGATCGACAAAGGAGAACTATAATTATTATTATTATTACTTTGTCGCGCATAAGGCATAGTATTTACTACAATATCGTTATCTTCTTCCTCTTCTATATAATCATCGTAAATTTCTTGAGGATAATAATCTCCTTGTCCTTGTGGTATTAGTGAAGAACCTTCGCCATTATCTATCATATCCGATATAATTCCTGTTGGGCTTGGTCGACCCGAAGTATTTATCTTATTTATAAACTTGTTTGGACCTATAATACTATCGTCATCATAGTCATAATCATTATCCTGTTCCTGAGGACTAAATTCTATTGTATCAGAATTGTTACGACGATTGGATTTTGACCATGGCATCATTGTATTCAAAGTGTTCAAAAGAGATTTTTTACGTGATTTACGTTTTTCTTTTTCTTTTTCTCGTTCAGAAAGGAATTTTCCTTTATCTTCAAACATTATCCATTCTCTTTCGTGTCTCTCATCTCGAGGTTCGACAAAGACCCATTCCCAAGGCTCTTTTTCATTTCTTACATTAGCACTAGATTCGACCCACATGTATGGGAAATTATTGTTAATAGGTTCTATGGTCACGTGAGAATTCATAGGATTCGTTTCATCTTGATCTTCGTCCGTTTCCATGGTAACGGAAAATCCAGAAACACCCGATCCAGGTCGTAAACATAAAAAGCAAATAGTCTTTCTAAAGATTTTATTATTTTTCCGTTTACCTTGTCGATTAATTGGTCGAGATCTTTCTTGGGTTCGTAATCGTATTTCTTCTTCAAAATGCGTTTGCGGTTCGTTAATCTCAGAATTGGTTACTTCAGTATTGATTATTTCAGGATTAATTACTTCAGGATTAATTACTTCAGGATTAGTTACATCAGTATTGGTTATATCGGTATTTGTTGCCTCAGTTAATTCGGAAATAGGTATAGAAACCGATGATTTTCCTAAAGTAGAACAAAGACTAAGGAGATTTGAATTAGTACCTAATGAATCTCTAAAACCTTTCTCCTCAAATTCATCCCATACAACAGTTGTTCGCATGGAAATTCTTGAATTATTTCCTTCACTCTGATAAAATGTATCTCTTATTGTTTCACGATTAATTTCAATATTAGGAATCATTTCTAAAAATCGTTCATCAAAAGTTTTTTTATTAAATCTTTTCCTACTACGTTTTCGTACGATACTAGCACAAGGATTTGAAGTTCTGTCGTCATAGGAAAAGAATAATTTCAAGGCTTCCTCAGAAAGTACATTAAATCCTTTAATTTGTAATTCATCCCATTTCTGTGCAGCAACATTTGAATCTTCAATTATATTTTCCAGATTTTGATAAGCTGTTTTTCTTCTCAATGATTCTAATGATTCAGCAATGTCTGGAAACATTTCAGCGATGGTTAATGAACCTCTAGAAGCCACACTCTCATGGGCTCCATTTTTGAGCATTGATTTTAACAATGTAGAATTAGTTTGCCTGTTACTTATTGTAACGTTAGATTGTCGTACATTTCCATTATTATTCGAAACAACGCCGGATCCTCGCGAGGTTCCATTATTAAGTAAGATGGATTGGTGTGGAGTTCCATTAGTTGAACTACTATTTTTTGTAAGATCAACTTGTCGAGATAATCCACTACTCCTCATGGAATCGAATTGTCGTGGATTCTTCTGACGTTGTTTTTTTGGTCGAATTATTAATTGTAAATCCTCAATGGTAATATCGGCTAATGGATGTTGATAATCTGGAGAAAATCTTGATTTTTTACGAAATTGTACATAACCATCTAATAAAATGTTTAAACGAGGTGGAAGGCTAGCAGAACAAGCTCTTTCTCGTAAATAAGCGAGATATAAATGTGTACATGCATTAGAACATCTTAACCATTTAGTATATGCCGCACTAAAATTTTCAAATTTAAGTTCTTTATCACCGATAATAAAATGTGCCATTGATTTAATTATTCTTTGAGCAGGAATTTTGTTTATATGAGCATGAGTCATAACTTGTGAAAATAATTCAAATAATTCCAAAAGGATTGCCTGGCTTGCTTTTGAAAGATTAGATACAAATTTACTGAATATACCTTTACGCGAATCGTATTGTGATTCTTACGTAATTTATGTTAAAAATTATATAATTAATATATATTATTTTATATTAATAATGTTAGTTATGTTTTTTTATAAATTTTTATAAAATTTTATAAAATTTTTATGATAGCATATAAACTTACCACTTTCTAGACGAACAAAGGTTTGGTAATCTTTATATGACACTACATTAGTGACACATTTTCTTAGAGTCCACCTAATACCGGCGACTACATTACGAATGTCTTGAAACTTGAGTTCATCTTCGAATTCCGTACGATTATCACGTAGAAGGCAATTGATAAGGTACCTGACCTCATCAGGGTTATCCTCACTTTCAACGGGCGAGAATAAATTCTCTTCACCTAATCCTATTTATAATAAAAATTTTTTTTAAAAAATTTTTTGCATATTTTTTCACACCTGTTCATTATACTAACCTCTTGATAAAACTTCCCCAGCACATAAATGAATTATTGAATATGCTTCGCTTAAAGTAACCATTTGTTCAATATCCCTTTTTTGTTTCTTTATGGCACTCAACCTTCTTCTCAAACTTTCACCCCTAGAAATAATTCCTTTATCTTTTTTAGATACATCAACATTTATTTGAGTGTTTTTTTTATAGCTTTTTATTTTCTGAAACATTTATTATGATCTTAAAGGATCTTTTATCCTATTTTTTTTTTAATGATAGTTATTTGTGTAATTTAAAAGATCTCTTAAGGAATACAAGAATATAGGTGAATTGGATGTAAATGGATGAATGATGTTTCAATAATATGGATTAAGGCAAGTGAGATTAATTTTAAAACCGCATTCGCTATCTTTTCCCTAATTTGAATGATTGCTTGGGGAAGTGAAGAGAAAAGAAAAATAATTCATTCTATAATTATGCGTATTTTGATTATATGCTTTATAAATATTGTAACACATACGTAAATTTTAATGGTCAATTTAGAAATTCCATGCAAACATTTATTTATGTGGCTATGTGAATCCAAGATTTTGTTAATACATTTAGTCATACTTAGATTAGGTAGAATCTTGAGCTATTTATGGAAAATTTTTCTACGTAAAACGGTATTACCGGTCCTCGAGTTTTAAAAAACAATATATTTATCAATATATTTATCAATAAATAGTGTACGTATTACACCTTGTTTGGTTAGATCAAAAAAAAATAATTCCAAATTTCGATCTGCATCTGTATGCACATTATCGCACTTCCACAAACCGTTCTTAATATTTAAGAGTTGAACAAGGGTGTACATTAACGTTATTTGATTATTCGATTATTGTTACGTATGCACTGTACAAGCATTAAGGGTTTTTTTATTAAACCAAATACCAGATCGAAAAAAATTCTACATTTTGTGATTAATATTACATATATTATACACTTACCTGGTAATATATTAGCAAAGAAATTTTCCTTAATCAGTAATTGTAATAATATAACGTATTAAAGTTATTACAACGTGAAATACTGTGAAACTTTTAGCATATAGCCACGTTTTTTACACTACACTATTACTGCACTTGCGCAAGTATATTTTAAAATAAACCCTTTGACCATATATATTATTTCCGGGTCTATTTGATGTTATGTGTCAATGGAGATCGAATAAACTTTTACGAACCTTTTTTTTTTTTTATATTTTATATATATATATATTCTCTATTTAAATTGCATCCATCGCTATTATTGATTATTTATAAAAGGGATGATTTTCTCATAAATAATGCTATAGTAACCGGGTATTACCCTAGCATTACTGTAATCATTCATGTTTCAACGTGATCGTATTATGGAGCAACATTGGATCTTCGTAATTGGATAGCAGTGTTGTACAATACCAATACTGATGTCCGAGCATTTTGAAACTGTATCCGATAGATTGTGTGCTTTGTCAGGTTCTATGTTAGACGAGATTGCTTATCTTGCTTATAATGATGAAATATATGCATTTCGGCAAATTTTAATGCTGATTACTTTTATTAATGCTTAAAGTAGATTTCATGACAAAAGATTTACGTTATTCATTGTCAAAATTTTGACCAAATTTTGGTTTAACCGTCTAATTTACTATGCACGGATAATGAATTATTATTTACAACCTCATGCTTAGAAGATGAATTCGAATTTTAAAACTAGATTTCATTCGAATTTTAAATGCGGGATTTAATAAATTACAAATTTAGAAATTTGATTCTATTTTAGATAAAGCTTTTTTGTTTAAAGTTACATATCTAATTTTAGAACTTGCTTCCACAATGGTTCGAATCATATGAAGGCTTTTTTTGTCATACAGAAGATTTATTATTGGTAGTTGTTAGCCGATCACTTAATTGTGTTATGTGTAATTACTATTACTAATTATTCTAATTATTGGAACCGTTTAACCGCGTAAAAATCGGTTCATAGTTTAGGTTAAATTATGTATGTTGGTCATGAGTAAAAATTATCTCATATTGGCTGAATTAAACAATTAATTCGACTAAACAATTAAAGAAATTTTAGATGATTCCTATCCCTAGTGTGAATATCGAAATATGTGGTCCACTTTATACTTTGTCATGCATCTTAAGGTGATTCTCGAGTTATAATCGTTATAATCGAAACGTATACAAGGATGCGAAAAAAGGAAGAAGAGAATTTTAAGACCTTAAATAATATTTATAACCTTTATAATTTTATCATGATCTTTGACTAAGCGGCTAGAATAAATGAGGCAATACTTTGAAAAATAAATGGTATGTGCCTCGATGCAAATGATCACAACAGCTCTTACTGAGCATTGTGGTCATATTTAATAGTAAGGTAGGGTATTAATCATACCGACAAAATTCTGATTCCCTTGTGTCAACTGTCATTCAATTCTAGAGTTTTTAACACACTGACTCTAGATAAACTTTGATATTTCCTTATATCAACTTGTCATTCTCCTGCGTCAACTTATCATTAACACAATGGTTTTGGACACCCCTTGTGTCTTTTACGGTTTTATTTACTGAGGATATATATATCATATATGTAAGAAAAAGTCAGATATGTCAGGAAACAGCAAAACAAAAGCGAATAAAATTACAAATCAACCCCTGTTTCATGCAACCCGGTTACTGGTGACAATATTGTCCTAGGTTGCATTATGTAATGTAAAACCGGGTCAGTCTCATGACTATAGTTGACGTTAAGTTTATTAAATTGCATTGGTGTGCCACAGCGGTCAGGTGATAAATAAATTTCTAATTGCTAAAGAGAATAATATATAAAATTATTAGTATACATATTGTGTTTTATAATTTGTGTTGCGCTTTCGCGATTGGAACCAGTTTTGTTGATTTATATTTGCAACATAAAACATCTAGCCAATCTAATCTGTTGTTATTTGAAAAACATATCGACTTTTCTAGAAATTTAAGCAAAGATGTATCAGAAATCACCCAACTAAATTTGATGGATTTTTTATTATAATTATTTGAATTCTACGAATATATAGAATTAAAATAAAAAATTCTATCTTTATTTGCTCGAAGTTTTAAATAACCTAAATATCTATCAAAATAAAGCTACATCAAATCTTTCTAATGCTTTATGCATATCGATGATGTTTTTTTATTATTTAAATTCTATAAATATATGGAATTAAATAAATAATTAAATTTGATAAGATAGTTATCTAGATTTTTTTGTTTAAAGTTTTAGAAAAAAATTGATATAAATTTTATTTCGATAGATATTTATCTAATCAAATTTATTAACAAAATTTTTTATTTGAACTTAAAGAATCAAAAATTTTCAATTTTGACTAAATATTTGCTAAAATATCTTACTTAAAATATTAGATAAAATTTAACATAATTTTTAATAATATTTTTAAGCATTTTTTAAAATTTTGAATATCTTTGTTTAAATTTTAAAGAAAATCCTAATCTTATACTAAATTAATTTATGAAAAAAATTTCTTTTTAAAAAAAATTGTTAATTTGGGCTTTTTTTCCCAGCATCTAGCCTATATTATTTACTTTATCTAATATCTTAACTTCTAATTTAGTGTATTAATACTTTAAATAAATACCTTTTGCTTCTTTACATAGTGTATTTCTTGATAATTTGTATCTCAAGCTATATAGCTACTACTATAGTAGTTTACTAAAGAAGTGACTAATTTTTTAATTGTAAATATTTTTATTTATTTATTTAAAATATAAACTAATTTTTTTTAAATAATCTTTACATATTTTAATTTAATTTAATTTATTTATTTAATTAATTTATAAATTTAAGAGTAATTTTTAATTTTTTAAAACAAGTTACTATTGAAATATAGCAACTTAGTAAAGTAGTTAAGTTGCGATTTTCAAGCAGCAGGTTGAGAGTTTAAATTCCTCTAAAGACAAAATTGAAATTTATAGTATGTGTTATAGTAACTATAATTACTTTTGCAAATCATTAGATTAGAAAACCTGCAGCCTAAGTCACGCCAGAATGTAAGTATTAAAACATTTATATAATACTAAATAAAAGAATTTAAACTGGCTATAGATCATAATAAGTCTAATAGATTATATAAATCTCAAAAATATACAGAAGATAGAAATCTGCTTGGCAAATATCTGAGTTAAGAAGGTAGCGGACTAACTTTTAATAGTACTGCAAAATAGAAATGGATTGGAAACTAGATAAGTAATATATTTCTTTAAAAAAAATAGAGATCTACCAACCTGGCTGCCAAAGCTGCATTAATATATATATATACTCTAAATGCATATATTAAAGATAAAAAAACTATAGGACACCCAAAGTCAACCAATAACCTTACGTAATGCCAGGCAAATACCTTGTAGAAGACAGGTCACATCAATGGTAGTGTTACAGATTTGATTTGTGAAACTTTGTAAACATGCAGGTATAGTTTATAAACATTAACCGAATAGTGTTATTATTGAGATTTGCAAGATACTTTTTTATAGTGATTTATTGATAATAGTGAAACTCAATTGATACGATAAATCGAAATAAAGATTTGAGGCAAATTTTTTGCTTACGAGAATAATAAACTTATCGGAATATAATAAACTTACGGAATTTCTGCTGATTAAATTTTCCTTGATGTTATCTTCGGGAAGCACTGTTTATTACGTAATTTAAGGGGAGGGAGGGGTTAGTGCTCTATCACGTACTATTGTCTACTAATTCAGTAATTCGATCTAGGGGGATCTAAAAATAAATTACGTATGTACGTACTCCCCTTAATGATAACGCATCTGATCGGATAAAATATTTCCCACTAATTAAGACATTTGAAAAACGTCATTGTTACAAATTCTGAGACAGTTGAAACGTTTTGCGATGATGAATTGATAAGTTCCCGAGTCGAAACAATAATTATTTAACTCAGTGATCATCACAATATCACATGACTATCGTTCGGCCTAGATTAGCATAGTTTAGGCCAGTCTGGTAAACAATGACGTCATGTTATGTTTATCATATGGGGTTATTCATATTAAAAAGGCCCATTTTGCAATATAAACAATTTTGAGATAATTGAGTTTAATAATTTGTT